TACTCAACAAAGCCTCACATATTTATGAATTTTTCAAGAAAAAAATCTGTACCATATTTCTTGTGAGTCTTCTTTTATTACATTTATAAAAAGAATCGTATCGAATTTCGGAAGTTTAATTTTTCTCAAGTCTCTTGGCGCTACAAAATCTTGTGAAAGGAAATATTAAAAAAATTTGATAACTTCCCAAGCAGAAAAACAACAAAAAATAACGTGTTAAAAATGCATTAAAGTTTTGAACGAAATAAAAATTCAAAAATTTTATGATTTCTTCAATTGCATACTGAAAGTCAAAATATTTCTTTATTCAAAAATTAAATTTTATTCAAATAATCTAATAAAATACTTAGAGTTAATTCTAACACGAAAATTATACTAAATTACCTTCTAGTCTCCATCACATATTCAAAAATATTGGCAATTATCTGTTTCTTCTTCAAATAATTTGATTAAACCCTGTATGATTGATCCTTCATTTCTACATGAATTTCATTGGTTATTTGACACATCTGAAAGCAAATCTTCAACATTACAATTAAAAGAAACTAATTCTTCACAAACTGATCCATAACTTGTTAAATTATTCAAATCTGTTAATGATCAAAATATAACAGTCACTGATCCAGAAATAATAATATATATTCATAAGGTTTGAATTTTAATTTTCCCCGAGGTTAATATTTTCATTTTTGAAATTTATATTTCAATAGCATATGGATCCAAATGAGAATCTTTATATTCGAAATATCGTTTTATCTTATTTGAAAACATGTTTAATTAATCGTGAGTCACAAAAGAAAACTCAAGAAGATATTGCAAAAAAACGAATGACTATACTTAATGTTATTATTGAAGATAAACTAGAAGCAGAAATTCAAACTGTTTATGCTATTCAAAATTTTGTTAATAAACTTGAACATCCACCAAGTATGTTAAAACAGTAAGTTTTAACATTAAAATTTATGAATATTATAGAAATCGCTCGACTATTATTCGATATATTCTATGATGAAGAATGTATAACTGAAAAGGCATTTTTTGAATGGCTTAAGCATCCAGATCAATCTGAAACTGAAGGTAAAATAAAATTTTTTTATGGAAAAAAAAACGAAGAATATAAATTAATAAAATATTTTGTTTAGGGCATGCTATTGTTCAAACGTCAACAACAGATTTTTTTACTGGGTTACAATAGGATGAAACAAAAGTGAAAGAAGGTGAAGAGAAAAAAAGAAATTAAATTCGTATAATCAAACAAACAAACAAAAAGTACAGAAAAATAACCGTTTGATGATTTATTATTGTTATTCTTGCTTTCTTTTTTGTTATTACACAATGTGCTATTTTTCTCATTTTCTTTATTTGTTCTATTATAAATTCAAAAGTATTTTATCTGTATACAATGCATACGATTCATCATGGATTATCTTGTCTTGCCGTTTGATTTGAATGTCAAAAACTGTGACTTTTTCTTCTATCTGTGCTTGGCTTGTTTAGATTGACGTATTCATATGATTTATTTCTTCTTTATCCTAATTATTCATCAATTGTGACCGTAGTGTATATCTTTTGCTTAAAATTTGATTTGATCTGTGCAAAACAGGACTTTAACATGGAAAAACCCTCTGATGTCTTTTTTCTCTATATCCATTTGAAATTGAATCACATCAATAAGAAAAAAAAACAAATAAAATTTTTCAAACTTGAACCCTTATCTCCTATAAATATTACGTTTTCTTTTTTTGTCGTTGTTTGTATATTCGATCTCTCTCGCTTTCGTTTTTCTTTTGCATCCTCTTATCTTTCGTTCAAACTTTCTTTTTTTTTCTTTCGGTTTCTCTTGGGTGTGGATGTGCGACTAGAGATAAGTAACCTCTTCATCGACACCCACACTCACACCCTCAAGCTGTGAGTAAGTTTTGGTTGATAAGAATTTAGGCAACAAATTCTGTTCAAATGGAACAAACCTGCATAATGGATAAGATGCATTCATACTTAAAGCATATCTTTACAAAAAAAGTCCGTCTGCTTTCTTCGATTACCATTATCACTAAAAGTGACTCAAATATAAGTTCTGCTTCTTTCTTTACGTTACCGACTTCTTTGTAAAAACGATGTTCGTATTTTAATTACTCTGCTTCCAGTACAATCTTGAGTGTATCCATGTCGTACTTGTTTGACGAGTAAAAGATTAAAATATATAGTTTATCATTCTCTACAAACTCAGCTCACAACTGATAGCGATAATAATATGCCTTCATTTTTATGGCCCTCTTTGTATATTACTTTACATTTCTTAATCTGTTTTATTCTTTCAACAATCTAATTGATGTATTGCAAAACACTTTTATACTTCTTTATTCTTTTAGTTTATCATATCTCTAATTCTCTAATGTATAGTTGTCACTAATGTGAGTCGAAAAGAAAATGTATGTATTATGTTTGCTCAGAGAAAATGTTTTGAAGAGATTTCTATTTTTCTGCTCTCTGCCAATTAAAATGTTCCTTTGAGTGAATCCTAGTAGATTTTGTATAACATTCTAAATTTTCTATTTGATGAGCAGCTCTCATAAAGACGACTAATGCATACACATGTATCTAAGAAATATTGAGTTCGATTCAAGAAAATTTCAAATACGCAAATAAAACAAAACGTAGAATTAACAGGAAATTTATCCAAGAAAAATACTTAGTACTACAATGTACTTCTTCAACTCGAGACAGTTGGTCATTTATCTATCAGTGAGAAGTTGACGAAGTGAAGTTAAATAGCGAGAGAGTATACTTAAATTTATCATAGACTCATCTTCGAGTTTTTTAATTCTGTTAACACTGAAACTATGGTCGCAATGATGACTATAGGGATTGTTCTAATTCACATTTTCTGAGGTAAGCAATAGTCATGTTTTTATTTTTTCCCATGATTTATCTAATTCAAGTTCGAATATAGAGGAAGAATTTAATATCTAGCTTTGAATCAAACAGGATGTGGATTTGAGTGTCATGGATGAGATTATATTAGTGACTTTCCATGAAGAAATGACCAGTATTCACATTCCAAATCACTTGGGAACACGCACACCCACACACCACACCTATACCCTGGAGTTCTTCTTGATCAGTTGCGACAAAATTCCTAATAGAGACCGAATAGAAGTGACTTTTACAGATTCAAGTCCCCTTTGGTTTGACTGTGTTTCTTAAAAGTCACTTCAAGTTCGGTTCGACTAAATCTCTACTAAAACCGATTCTAGTTCGGATCGGGTGGAACCATTATTGGTTGCTGATAGAGGACAATAGTCTGTAAATTTATTTTCAACTGAAATTGTTGCTAATGTAAATTTAAATTTTTCTGGTACCAAAATTTTACTGTAAAATTAATTTAAATCTTAACGTTGAATAAATATGAGTATGTTGTAAGTTTATATTTTTTTAGAACTTCTGGATTAAGTGATTTTCTTAAAAATTCAATTCATCGGCTCAGTGTTCAAAACACATGACGCCAAGGAGGGTGTTAGGGAGAAGGGAAGAGAAGGTGTGGGCGACATTACTACATAGTAGAAGATGCACACCAATACTCAACTTCACATCCTGTGCAGTCACTGTCAACACACTGTGTAGTGAAAAAGAAATAAGCAGAACGAAGAAAATTTAAGGGGAAGGCTTCCACATGGCATAACATTCTGGCTTTATGGAAGAATAAAATAGAAAATTATTCGACAAGCAGCGTACTCGTCTGTCGTTCACAAAAACAACCCAGCTGAATTTTACTATCGTTTACATTCACGCGGTATAGTCAGTTTTATTTAATTTATTTTGTTTAGTAACGTGTCAAGAGGATTCTTAAGACTAGAAGGAGAAGTTTAAACGTCACCAAAGACAGCTGACGGAGTCAGTGCGATTGTGAATCATTTCTTCAACCACACTGATATGTACACATATTCCTACATCGAAGTCTCGATTATCAAATAATAAATACTTTCAAAGCAGGGTGTGAATGTTGGTGGTGTAGTTGTGGATGTGGGTGTCGTGTGTGTATATAACTCTCGAGCTACGTACATTCACACACAGATCGACCCCCACAGCCATCGCCACAAACCCACACCCACACCCTTAGAATGATATACAAAACCTTGTCTATATGGTTTAAATTGTTATAAAAACACAAAACATATGCTCTTACATATTTCTCAACATGTTTCACTTGAATATTTAGAGAGGACCGATTAACGTTCTTGTACGTCCCTGTCCTTTCTCGCGAACAGCCAGAGATAGACAACTGTTTTTTTAAGTCCTCTACAACTCTGAGAATTATATTTATGGTAAAGATTTGAACGACAACGGATGAATTGTTCAAAAGTTATTGGTGACGACATTTCCAAACAATGAATCTAAAAAGTGTGTAAAATTTGAATTTTTCAGAATAAATCGTTTTTTAAACAAAAAAAAGAAAGCTATTCAAAAGAATTTTACATTATCAATTTGTTGCTAGCTCGATTTTCTTTCTATTGAATATCTTCCCGCTTCTTCAAGTCATAGCTAGAGTGAGAAAGTTAACAGATTCGATGAGTCCAAACAAAAATCAATAAGTGTCTATAATTGTATACTTGAAGAGGATGGGTGTGAAAAGACGAAGAAAGAAATACAAAAGATATATTATTCAAAAGAGAGTTTCAGTCTGCACAAAATGGTTTATTCATTATATGTTTTCTCTTACTTTTCATATTAAGAAAATATAGTTTTTCTAGTATGTCTCCATGCAAAATACAATTTTTTCAGTGTCAGATTTATAAGTCCTTGAGAGTACGAGCTAGATGGTTGAAATTTTGTGTGACAGCGGGGCACATAGAGAGTAATAAGACATACAAAAAAAATTGTCAAAATTGATTGAGTAGAACAAAAATCATTACACAATTATAGCTGCAATCATAATCTTATCACAAAATTGCCATTTACTCATACATATTTTTATGCGTATCTAATTATATATAGTGAGCGTGTGCATGTGGATGCAGATTTTCTCTTCATATTCACAAAATCCCACGCTCACAAAGAGAACAATACGGAAAAGAGGATACGTAACTTTGTGACTGATAATACGATGAGTCGTATGAGACAATATTTACCCGCTAAATTTAAAAAAGAAGCTGGATAGGTTCACCAAATCGGCCTATATTTATCGTACTCGCTGCAATTCGAAGTGCCATTATCAAAAGGTTTTCAAGCCTAAATTCGATTAAACAACTTGTCTATACTCAGTTTATGACTACAGGTCTGAGAAGGATATAATCAGAAGTTTGAGGTAAAAACAAAGCAGAAAATTCTAGTTTTGTTGAAAAAGATGTGTTTATTGAGAAAAATGAACCATTTTTTATTTTTTTTTTGTTTTGATCGTAAAAAAGGCCTTCGTTAACGTTAATAACTAATTTCTCATAATTGGCTATTCACACTCGATTAAGTACAGACAAAAAGGTTTTACTAGAAATTGGCTTTCACAACATCTTACAAAGGCTACCATTCTACGGTGTGAAAGAAAATAAAACGAAAACTGAAGCTGATACCGTTTTTTTTTGAAGTTAGAGAACGGATTGTTCCTGCAAATTAAGATTACAAGGTTAAAGTGAATATGCAAATGCTTTGAGTTTTCCAACGAAGAAGTGTCAATATGAGTGATGGCTTGTATCTTTTGCAGAAATCGTGCTATAGGTCTATTGTACAATGACAGCATAAAAGCAATATGACTGCCATCTTATCTTATGGAGTGAAGCTTCGTAAAAGATTTTTCTAGATCATTAAGCTGGACTGGTTAGTCAGCAAAGCCATAGAAGACGATGCTTTATGCTTGAGCGAATTAAGCAACTATGCTTAGACCAATCAATTACCTACCGAATGAAGTAATATGACATTAGCAATACCTAAGTGTTACTGCGAACAAAGATTTCTCTAAAAAATGCTCTTTTTCTTCCCATATTCTTTACTGTTTAATTTTTTTTCATTTTCGGTGGATGTGGTAGGCAGCAAACTAGAGCAGCGAAAACAAATATATGTATTTCAAATGATCTTCTATAAATAGATTTGCCATTCTCCGGCGTCGATCAAGCATTTTCTACATAAATATATACAATGGAGACGAAAAATTCTAGTATACCACCAACCGGCTGTCAGACATCGAAAAATATGAGAGAGGAAGATTCA